ATTTTGTCTCTATCCCTGTATTGTAAAATTTCATGATAAAATGGCTTGGTTGGGCTTCCCTGGTGGCGCAGTGGTTGAGCGTCCGCCTGCTGATGTAGGGGACACGGGTTCATGCCCTGGTCCGGGAAGATCCTACATGCCGCGGAGCGGCTAGGCCCGTGAGCCATGGCCGCTGAGCCTGCGCGTCCGGAGCCTGTGCTCCGCAATGGGAGAGGCCACAACAGTGAGAGGCCCGCGTACCGCAAAAAAAAAAAAAAAAAAAAAAAAGGGGCTTGGTATCTTCTTTTTTAACTTTTCAAGAATTCTAAAAACTATATACATATAAAAGTATGTAGATCATATAAGTGACATTTAAAGGAGAAAAAGTTAACATGCCAAAACCCAGCACCTAGTTCAGGGTTGGCCAACTACAGCCCGAAGGCTAAGTCTGGTGTGCCTCCTATTTTTGTAAATAAAGCTTCTTGGAACACAGTCACACTCACTAGTTTACTGATTGTAAATTACAAGGTCAGAGTCCAGTAGTTGCAATGTTGGACCCTTTACAAAAAGGTTTGCTGATCCCTAACCTAGCTCAAGACAGAAAATAATACTTCTGATGTCCCACATATGCCTCTTCCCAACTATACTCCTTTCACTCCCTTTGAGGAAACTACTACCTAAATTTTCTGTTAATCATTTCCCCCCTCCGTAGTTTGTATGTATCCCTAAATAATATACCATTTAGTTTTTCTTACTTGAATTTTATATTAATGAATCATACTGTATATTCTTCTGTAGCTTGTTTCTTTTACTCAGAATTCTGTATTAGAGACCCCACCATGCTGACAGTGTAGTTCATCTTCACTGACACAGTGTTCTACTGTATGACTATGCAACAATTTATGAGTTCTCTGTTGATGGGCATGTGGGCTCTTTCCAGGTTTAAAAAACAAAACCCAAAACAATGCTGCTATGAACATGCTTGCACATGTATCCCACTATACATGACCAAAAAGAGCGTGTAGGTATGTGTATGTACACACACACACACACAATTCCACCCAGGAGTGGAACTGCTGAGTGTTGGGCATATGCAAATAGTTCTATGCCACATACTCTTCAAAGAGTAGTACACGAAATTCTCCAATACATCTGCAATATAACACTTGGCTTTATCAGACATCTAATTTTTGCAAGCCTAGTGTTTTAATTACTGTAGTTTTAATTTGCTTTTCTGTGGTTACTAATGTGGTTGAGCATCTTTTTCCATATATTTATTAGCCATTTAGGTTTCTTCTGTGAAATGCCTATTTGTGCTTTTTGCCAATGTTTCTATTGATAGATTTGTCTTCTGCTTTTTTTTTTTTTACTGTAGTAGTTCTTTATATATTTCAGATATTAATCCTCTGTCAGTTTTATATATAGCAAATACCTCATCTCAGCCTGTGCCTTGTCTTTCCATTCTCTGAATGGTTTTTTTTTTTTTTTAAGATGTTGGGGGTAGGAGTTTATTAATTAATTAATTTATTTTTGCTGTGTTGGGTCTTCATTTCTGTGCCAGGGCTTTCTCTAGTTGTGGCAAGTGGGGGCCACTCTTCATCGCGGTGCACGGGCCTCTCACTATCGCGGTCTCTCGTTGCGGAGCACAGGCTCCAGACGCGCAGGCTCAGTAGTTGTGGCTCTGTTGCTAGTTGGGGGCCTAGTTGCTCCGCGGCATATGGAATCCTCCCAGACCAGGGCTCGAACCCGTGTCCCCTGCATTAGCAGGCAGATTCTCAACCACTGCACCACCAGGGAAGCCCCTGAATGGTATCTTTTAATGAACAAAATTCACAATTTTAATCTTTTCCTTTATATGATGCATATTTTGGATTATTTAACTGAATCCATTTCTACTCCAAGATCACAGAGATTATTCTATTTTGTCTTCTAAAGTTTAAAAATTTTGCCTTTGACATTTAAGTCCTTGATCCATTTGGAATTCAGTTTTGCAAGTTGTGTAAGATATAAATTATCTCCCTTTTCTTCCCCATGTGGATTATCAATTATTGAAAAGCCCATCCGTTCCCCCAGATTTTACAATGCCACCTCTGTTGTATATGAAGAACCCACACACATGGTCCCTTTTTGCAATCTCTGTTCCGTTCCATCAGTCTATTTGTGTATCCCTATGCCGTTACTAGCATCTTAGTTACTAGAGGTCTATAAAAAGTCTTGATGTCTGGTAAAGCAAGCTTTATCACCCATTCTTTTTCTTCAAGTATATCTTGGCTCTCCCTTTGGCTTTCCATAGTAATTTTAGAATCAGGTTGCCAAGTACTATGTAAAATCCTACTGGGATTTTGAATGGAATTATATGTAATCTATAATATACATCATTTATACCTTTAATATAATGTCTTCCTATTCATGAACATGGTCATGCTTTTTCTCTATTGAAAATTCATATTGAACATTTGAATTTTCCCTTTCAATATGTTAATGTGGTGAGCTATAGTACCAGATTTTCTAGTATTATCAGCCTTACATTTCTGGAATAAAGTCAACTCAGTTATTATGAATTATATTTTTTATGTATTTGCTACTGTTCTGTTTAAGATTTTTACAGCTATGTTACTGAGTGAGATTGGCTGATAACTTTTCTTTCTTGTAGTGTCTCTTTGTGTAGTTGAATGTCAAAATTATACAAGTGTCACAAGAAAAGCTCAGGGGGTGTTCCTTCTTTTTTCTAGACTCTTAAGGAGTTTGTCTAAGATTGAAATTACCTGTTCCTTGAGATATTTGATAAAACATACCTATAAAACCATCCGGGCTGAATGTTTTGGAAAAAAAAATTATATATTGATTCAATTTCTATAAATTAAATGACCTATTCAATTTTTATATTTCTTCTTAATTCAATTTTGGTAAATTGTATTTTTCTGTTCATTTCACCTTAGTTTTTGAATGTTGGCATAACATTGATAACAGCATTTTCTTAATATCTAAGATTTCTGCTACATCTGCTCTTTGTGCTTGTTGATTTACTCCTTTATTTCATTTTTGTTTTGGGAAGGAGCAGAAATAACTGTGTGTGTTTAATCCCCTACATTTATCTAAACAAAATCACGCAGAAGATACATTCTTCCTTATCTATCACATGGAGAAATAACAGAACCTACTACAAACTGTTGTAGTGACAATTAAATGAGTTAATAGATGAAGAGGGGTTAGCACAGTGCCTGGCACATATTAAAGGCTCAAAAACACCACGGGAATTCAATTCCACTGTTATGATGTCCTACTTTTGTTCTACTTAAGTTTAATTCTTCAAAGCAACAGTAACTGGTTAGGGACTAGACTCTTTCAAATGTACTCTTAATCTATCCAGCCTCATAAAGAGGCAATGATAAATCTGGTTGGCAATATTCTCATTCTGAACCTCAGTCTGGGTGTTCAGGCCCTGAGATTACCAACTACACTTCCGAGTTTAAAACCAAATGCAAAACAAAGCAAGAGGTCTATTATGGGCTGTTTTTCCCTGGAGGGCAAGGGCCATGCTTTTATCACCTAGTATGCGTTGTAAGCCTAGCACCTAGCAGGCAATTAAAAAATTGTGCATTCTTGACAAGCAAACAATACCAAAAAAATAATAAAATTACAATGAAAACCATAAAGAAAACTCTAATGGTCTCACTAAGTTTGCATTATTAGGTGCCTTGAATTCATAGGTAAACACATCGGTAAATCATAGGCCTATGATTCTATCCATAGGAACTTCAATAGGGAAATTTCCACCATAAGAAGGTCTTTCTACCCTCTCAAACAGTCAACTTCTCCTAGTCAATATCTTTATGTAAGTTTTACCTCAAAAAGAAAAAAAAATACTGTAAACAGATATTGAACTTTAGTTAATAACAAGTTAATAACAAACATATGCAATTATTGGGGGGAAGCATAGTGATGTCTGTGATTTACTTTGAAATGCATCAAAAAATAAAATGGCTTGATGGATGGTATGAGGGATGGATAGATGGATAAAGATGTGCCAAAGCAAGCGTAGAAATATGTTAATGGCAGAATCTAGATGGAATTACGTGGATGTTCACTGCAAACTGATTTCAGTTTTCTGTGTTTGAGAATTTTCATAATAGATACTGGGGAAAATATAAACTCCTATACTTAGCAAGTTAAAAAAACTAACATAAAAAGAATAAGAAAAGTATTTATATTATATAGTAAAAGTTTTTACAATATAAAAAGAGCTCATCCCAATTTATTTTTTTTAAATCAAGAGCCCTATAAGATAAATGAGAAAAGACATTAACAAAATGCAAATGGGGGGGGGAAACGCATGGAAAATGTTGTTACCTTTAACCAAAGAAATTAAAAATAAAGCAAACCTGCAATACCATTTTATGCCTATTTTATTAGGTAAATTAAAGCACATGTCCAAGAGCACACACACAATTCTGGCAAGGCTGCAGTGCAAATGGTACACTCATGCACAGCTGGCAGCATCCACTATAAAAAAGCACAGCCTGTTTGGGAAGCAATTTGGCATCCATAAGTCATAGCACTTATTCAGTCCTTTGACCCAGTGGTCCCAATGCTTAGAATACAAACTGTATCAGTCAAATGCAGCCGAAAGATGTTCACTGCAGTGTTAGCTACTAAAGGATTAAACTACGAACTACCTAAATGGCCATGGAGAGAAAAAAGATTTAGCAAGCGATGACACATCAGTATAATGGAATATGATACAGACATATAACAAGTGACAATAATGGAAGAATGTGGAAATATGTAAAGTGTTCATAACACACGATCAAATGGGAAACTATTTATAATTGACCGTGAAACTACAAGAATAAATGAAATGTGCATTGACACTGTGAAGGAACATGAATAATTAATGAAAATGACGTGTTACTACCTGAGGGGATTGTGGCTGATTTCTTCTTCTAAACTCTCCTTTAATCTTTACGAAACATCTTTCAATTAAAGTAAAATTCAAAAGCCCGCCCCGACCGTCTACTCACAGTGCTGAGCTTGCTGCAGATGACGAGGATGCGGCGCTCGCAGAGCATGCTCGCGTACAGATGCAGCATGTTGTTTACATCCACAGCCACAAAGTACTCTGTCAGATTTCTCTAGGAGAAAGAAGAAGGGAGGTTTGGGGATTACTTTGTTTGTTCTTATTAAAAACGGTATCTAACAGAAGCACCCGAAACAGAAAATGATCAGAAAGTATACTCCCCTCTTCCCCACTCCTGTGTTTTCTCCCTGGGAGGCCAAATCTCACTCACATGTAAATCATGAAATGTAAAGTTGGAAGAGACCTTAGAGATGAAGGAGTCTGAGCAATCACACCTCTGGGTGGTGATTACAGTTTGCAACGTGAAGTCACATGCAGCACTGTGCTTGCTCTTCAGGTCAGCTCCGAAAGGTGAGCTGGACAAGAAGTCTGCAATCTTAAAAATGAGGAAATCAAGGCAAGAGAGAGATGCCAAGATCAAAAAACCTAATAAGCAGTGAAGATGAGACCGCAGCTCATATCCTCTGACCCTGGGTCCTAGAACTTTCCCAATGCACTGTGCCATACGTCTAAGCAAAAGAAAGTACCCAGGGACCAAAATGCTTCTGGCACAGAGCCTGTTTCTGTCCAACAGGTCCCACCTGCAAAGGCCAGGCATGCTCCTCTCCTGTCATCACTGCTGGGGTCCCCTCCTCCACAGTTTACATTCTCTAAAATGCCTCGGCTGGAAGTAAAGCAATTTCCAAGATCTACAATTTCCAGGTATTTCACTCAAAAGGGGGAAAAGCCATTGAAGACAAGCAGTAGCAAGTTGTGACAAAGCAGTGTTTTTAACTAGCTTTTGTGTGTAGCCTGGGCTTCATTCCTTTTATTAGTACTGTAGATCGGTAGTCTTCAGATTTCAGAAAAAATGTAATGTGTTTCATTTCTGCAACCTTTTCTATACCCACCTGACTTTAATAATACACATGAATATGCTAATTTCTTCAATGTTACAGGTTTTCAATGCCATACAATATAATCCTCTGAAAATGAAGGGGGTTGGAGAGGGAAGGATGGCTATCGCCAGGGGTTGCAGTTTATAATGATGAAAGATCCATAACCCATAAATTCAAGTAAACCAGGTGGATTTTATATGCAAAGTAGCATAAAGTGCTTTTTGACAATATTATGGGTTGGGAATAAGAATGAGCACTTATGATTTATTATTGTTTGATTTGAGTACCAGGTTAACTATCGACCTTTATAAATAAAGCATGCGTGAATTAATAGGTCTGCATACTGACTACCTACCAAGTCCCAGGCACTGGACCAGGTACTCTTAAACGTGTAATTTTAAGCAATCTTCACAAAAATCCAATGAGGTATTATTCTTTCCAACATATAGGTAAACTACGTCTGGGAGAGATTCAGTAACTGGTATAGTCAGATTTTGGACACAGATGCAACACCATAGCCCTATACTTTCCCTTATATTACATTCTCCCTCTTAAATACTTTTAAATATCTACAATTTATGAGGCTTTACATATATTATTTCACTCATCTTGAAGCCACTCCTTGAACAAACATTATCATCTCTATATACAGATAAGAAAACAGAGGCACAGAGAAGTAACTTGACCAAGGTCATATAGTAAGCGGATAAGGCATTGCTCAGTCTTGGGTGGGTTTGTCTTTAAACCTGTGTTGTTGTTGTTGTTGTTTTTCTTTTAACCACCACTAAAAATAGTAGATAAAACTTGTATTTGGAAAGAACATGCAGGATCAAAGTATGGCAAAAGAAAAAGTGTTTCTGTTAAAAATTGTTATTCCATTTATTGAGTAATCCTTGTGGGCCAGAAAATAGGTACTTTACCTGCGTTCTCTCTAATCTTCTCAACAACCCTGAGGAAGGCATTATCATCTCCATCTTATAGATGGGAAAACTGAGGCTCAGGAAGGTTAAACAGTCTTCCAAAGGTCACCCAGCTGGACAGGGCCAAGTTTCAAAACCAGGTTTCCTGAACCCCAAACTCTTGCTCTAACCGCCACACAAACTTGAAAAACAAAACTGAGCAAACAAGAAAGGCAGTATAAATTAGTCAACAAGTGTACCTCTGGCCCAGTGGACTGAGGAGTACTGAGCTAATGAAGTCAGGGTGGGGTTTGTTCTGAAGACAGTGACATGGCAGAGTTATTCTCGCAAACAAAAATACAAGGCCCTCAGCTGAGCATTTCAGTAAAATGCTTAACTGCTGATGAATTACATGAATTTTTCTTTTAGGAGAGGATGGAAGTAAAAAGAAAATAGAAATGAGGAGCTTAAAGAAGGCCAGAAAGCCCATTAGCACTTTTGACAGATCCAAAGATAACTCTGAAGCCACCAAAACGTGGCCTCAAGAGTCTGCCAAGAAGCTTCACGCTGGGTAGAAATATGTTACACAGCTTGCCGTCCAAATAGGGAGACACAGCGTCAGAGACAAATCCTGCGCCTTATTTTGGTGGGAGAAAAAAAAATCACAAGGATACTTTTGTGGATGGGAAAGGGAACATTTCTGAAATAAAAACACCACTTGGTTGAGGCATAACCTCCAGGCCAACCAGGTTCTGAAGGATTCAGGTGCTTGGTCCAAAAACTCTACACAGGTATGTTAAAAATATGTAACATTTAACCAAATTCTCTCTAAACTGTCATGTACTTTTTTTGGTATTTCTCATCCCATCTGTGCTGATTACCAAGATATTTGTGTCTAAACAGAAGCTGTCTTTCTTATCTGCTTCCTCCCTGCCTCTTTCCTTCTGGGACGCCACCCGCCTAGGCAGTGGGAGTGGGTGGGAATGGACTGGAAACCTCGATCAGCCACAGGAGCACCTGTGGGGCAGAACGGACCTTGGGAACACCTGGAGGGAGCCCTTGCAGCTCCCATCAAGCCTTATCTCAGAAGAAAAGCCCTCAGAGAGAGGGGCCTCCTTCCCCCTGCCTTTAAGAATCCGGTAGCTTAAGCTACAACCACCCTCAATTTCTCAGACCTGCCATGCTTTTCACACCCCCAGGCCTTTACTTCCTCTGTTTCCTCTGCCTAGAAGGCTCTTCTCTTCCTTAAGGACACCCATTTACTTTTCATGACTCAGCTCAAATGTCACCTTCTCCTGAAAGGCTTCCTCAACTCCTCATTTGTCAAGCTGCCCTTTATGATTCCATGACAATTTGTCTCTATCTTATAATCACTCAGTTACAAGTATGTTTTTGCCACCAGACTGAGATCCCTTTGGGTAAAATGATGTATCCCATCATCTTAGCAGTTTGATGAAAGAGAGAATCAATGAGTGGAGAAAGCAACTGACTGAAGACTACTGCTCGTTAGCTCAGGCGTGAGCAGGGTGGTATAAGAGAAACACGAGGGCCTCGAAGGGGGACAATGTGGTATGTTAGGAAGAATGGACCACTTGACTTCAGAAAACCTGGGTCTGAGTTGGATGAAGTGATCAATTACTTAGTAATTACTTAGTAATGATGAAGGGCCCACAGGAAAAGAACTGACATTGGAGACTCACAAAGTCAGGTAAGGTAGCTGGAGGAGGGAGAGCTTTTAAAGGTATCATTTTTGTTTGTTTGTTTATTTATTTATTTATTTGGTTGTGTTGGGTCTTAGTTGCAGCAAGCGGGCTCCTTAGTTGCAGCATTCAAACTCTCAGTTGTGGCATGCATATGGGATCTAGTTCCTGGACCAGGGATCGAACCCGGGCCCCCTGCATTGGGAGTGCAGAGTCTTAACCACTGTGCCACCAGGGAAGTCGCTACATTCATTAAAATGTAAAGAAATAGGTGGTTTGTTCTTCAGGTAACTGGGGCAGGGGGGCAGGGAGAACTGTACACAGAGGCAGGTGTACATTACACAGAGAGGTCAGGGGACGAGGAATAAGAAGAGAAGGCTTCCATGGCAAGTTGTCCTAAGTTAAGACTGTAGCCAGAACACACTGTGAGCTTATTATTTGTTAAAAAACACAGATATGCCACTTTCTCCCAGCACTTGGCTTCAGTGGAACTAAGTCTTCAATCTTCCATTTCTGTCTCCTATAATCAGCCAGTCAACAAACACCTGTTTGAGTCCTACTAAGTGCTTAGTACCACCCTGGGAGCTAGGCCTGCAGAGATTAACTAAACATGATCCCCATTTTCTAGGAGCAGCGTTAGACCCAGAAACCTCATATGCCAAGAACTGTGATCCAGGCTAGACATGCGCCAGGGCTGGCTGAGAAGGGAAGATTCAACTCTGCCAGATGGATATGGGGGGAAGGCTGGGGAAGACTTGACAGAGGAGAAGATACTTCTCTGGGCCTCCCAACAGGGGGTTCACTTAGGGGACAGGGGGAGAAGCGTGTTCCAGCCAGAGGCAAGGCGGAGAGAGCAGCTCTATGCAGGTCAGTGGAGTGAAGGGCAGGGTGCAGGGCAGGGAGCGTGCTGGGGCAGGGGAGCTGAGTTCAGATCCTGTGGGAGCCTAGACTTGATAATAACAGGGAGGTAACAAGGAGCTGCTGAAGAATCAGGATGGTCCTATCGTGTTGCGGAAAGATCTTCCTAGAGGTCCTGTAGAGGATGCACAAGAGAGGGCAAGCAGGAGGCAGGGCAAGCAGCTAATAGGCTACTGCCACATTCAGGGAAAGAATGAGTACAAGCTATTCAGATAAAAGCTTTGAATATGAATGTCACAGATCTCTGTAAAGTGGAATCACAGGACTTGACAATGGATCAGACTCTGAAAGGGGGCAGGAAGCATCTGGGACAAGGCCCAGACTTCCAGGTTCCTGTGCTCCACATCTGTCCACCTGCCCAACAAGTTTTTTTTAAAGGGAGAGTCCAGTCTTTTAATGAAGGATCAATCCTCCTTCTAAAGAACCATCAATCCTGTCAAACATGGTATTGCTGTCCACCTAGTCTTAGGCCCAGTGTCCTGGGTTATAATGCCATCATGGCGAAGCCTAAATAACCACCCCCTTTATTCCCTGACAATTACTCCTCCATGTGACTCACTTGCTAAAAAGGAAAACCTTGCTTAGACGGACTACTTCCCAGTGTCCATGCTCAAAAGGGCTCAGTTTTCTCAGTGCTAGTAAGTTTTTAGGCTTAAGGAA